GGGTACAAACTGGAGTTTTGGGGAATTCCTCTTCCCCGTTTCTTAAGGTCCAATGTATCCACAAATCCATTGAGAAGTAATTCTTTGTTTCAGACACTTGACTGGCGGTTGTCCCTGGGCGTGATTGTGGAATTTCCAGGGATTTCATTCAAACCTATTCACAGTTTCAAAGCCGAATTGGGATGTAAGGCCTATGCTAGACTTAAAGGGGCTGAATCGGTTCTGCAAGATTCGTTCATTTCTGATGGAATCAGTTTGGTCAGTAATCGCATCTTTACAAGAGGGAGAATTTCTAGCATCCATAGACATCAAGGACACCTACCTGCATGTGCCAATATTTCCAGCTCATCAAAGGTTTCTGCGGTTTGCGATAGAAACTCAACATTTTCAGTTCATGGCACTACCTTTTGGGCTAGCCATGGTTCATCGTGCGTTTACAAAGATTTTGGCTCCAGTTCTGGGTTGCTCAGAACTTGGGGAATATCGATTTTGGGCTTCCTGAACAATCTACTGCTCAGGGGTCAGTCTAGTCCAAGCCTGAGAAAAAATGTGGCTTTTGTGATTCATACTCTGGAACGCTTGGGCTGGGTGCTCAACTTCGAGAAGTTGGCCCTGGAGACCGTACAGAGTCTGGAGTATTTGGGGTTGGTCCTAGACACTGTCCTGGCAAGGGTGTTTCTGCCTCCAGGAAAGGGCCACACCCTGAGAGATCGGGTTCAGAGTTTGAGGAGCAGGAAGTGTTCTTCCATTTGTCTCTGTTAATAGGGAAGATGGTATCTTCATTCGAGGCAATGCCCTATGCACAATTCCACTCAAGGCCTTTGCAGAGGAACATTCTCTCGGAATGGAATAAAAAGATTCCAGCGCTCGATTACCACAGGTCTTTGTTCCCTTGAGTGCTGCAAAGCTTGAATTGGTTGGAAGCTTGGAATTTGGAAAAGGGAAGAGCTTTTCCACCAGTGATTTGGAAGCTGGAAACAACCAATGCCAGCCTTTCAGGTTGGGGGGCTGTTCTAGAAGGGACCACAGTCCAGGGGACGTGGTCGCTACAGGAAAAGATCCTTCCCATAAATATCCTGGAGGTTTGGGTAGTGCGGCTTGCCCTGAGATATTGGACAACCAGGCTTCGTGGTTGGCCAGTCAGGGTCCAGTCTGAGAAAGCTACGGCAGTGCAATACATCAACCACTAAGGCGGTACCAAGAGCTGGAGGGCTCACGAGGAGGTAAATCACAATCTGGCGTGGGTAGAAGAGAATGTTCCAGTTCTGTCAGCAGTATTCATTCCAGGGATAGAGAATTGGCAGGCGGACTACCTCAGTTGTCGGTTGTTTCCCGGGGGAAATGGGCTCTGCATCCCGAGGTGTTCTTGGCAGTCAGCCAGCGTTGGAGGTACCCAGATGTATATCTGTTGGCATCCAGAACTCTGGACCCTCTTGCGATAGGTATAGATGCCTTGGTAATACCGTGGGATCAGTTTTCCCTAATACAGGTGAAACTTGAAAAATTAGAATATCATGCAAAAGTTAATTTATTTTAGTAATGCAACTTAAAAGGTGAAACTAATATATGAGACTCATTACATGCAAAGCAAGATAGTTCAAGCCGTGATTTGTCATAATTGTGATGATTATGGCTTACAGCTCATGAAAACCCCAAATCCACAATCTCAGAAAATTAGAATATTGTGAAAAGGTGCAATATTCTAGGCTCAAAGTGTCCCACTCTAATCAGCTAATTAAGCCATAACACCTGCAAAGGGTTCCTGAGCCTCTAAATGGTCTCTGTCTGGTTCGGTAGGAATCACAATCATGGGAAAGACTGCTGACCTGACAGTTGTGCAGAAAACCATCATTGACACCCTCCATAAGGAGGGAAAGCCTCAAAAGGTAATTGCAAAAAAAGTTGGATGTTCCCAAAGTGCTGTATCAAAGCACATTAATAGAAAGTTATGTGGAAGGGAACAGTGTGGAAGAAAAAGGTGTACAAGCAGCAGGGATGACCGCAGCCTGGAGAGGATTGTCAGGAAAAGGCCATTCAAAAGTTTTGGGGACTTTCACAAGGAGTGGACTGAGGCTGGAATCAGTGCATCAAGAGCCACCACACACAGACGGATCCTGGACATGGGCTTCAAATGTCGTATTCCTCTTGTCAAGCCGCTCCTGAACAACAAACAACGTCAGAAGCGTCTTACCTGGGCTAAAGAAAAACAGACCTGGTCTGTTGCTCAGTGGTCCAAAGTCTTCTTTTCTGATAAGAGCAACTTTTGCATCTCATTTGGAAACCAAGGACCCAGAGTATGGAGGAAGAATGGAGAGGCACACACTGCTTGAAGTCCAGTGTGAAGTTTCCACAGTCTGTGTTGATTTGGGGAGCCATGTCATCTGCTGGTGTTGGTCCACTGTGCTTCATTAAGTCCAAGGTCAACGCAGCCGTCTACAAGGAGATTTTGGAGCACTTCATGCTTCCTTCCACAGACGAGCTTTATGGGGATGCTGACTTCATTTTCCAGCAGGACTTGCCACCTGCCCACACTGCCAAAAGCACCAAAACCTGGTTCAGTGACCGTGGGATTACTGTGCTTGATTGGCCAGCAAACTCGCCTGATCTGAACCCCATAGAGCATCTATGGGGCATTGCCAAAAGAAAGATGAGAGACATGAGACTGAACAATGCAGAAGAGCTGAAGGCCACTATTGAAGTATCCTGGTCTTCCATAACACCTCAGCAGTGCCACAGGCTGATAGCTTCCATGCCATGCCGCATTGAGGCAGTAATTGCTGCAAAAGGGGCCCAAATCAAGTACGGAGTACATATGCATGCTTATACTTTTCAGAGGTCCGATATTGTTCTATGTACAATCTTTGTTTTATTGATTGCATATAATATTCTAATTTTCTGAGATTCTGGATTTGGGATTTTCATGAGCTGTAAGCCATAATCATCACAATTATGACAAATCACGGCTTGAATTATCTTGCTTTGCATGTAATGAGTCTATCTCATATATTAGTTTCACATTTTAAGTTGCATTACTGAAATAAATGAAATTTTGCACGATATTCTAATATTTCGAGTTTCACCTGTATATGCTTTTCCCCCGATTCATGCAAATATTGGATTGTCCATAGAAAAGTAATAGGACATTTTCCAATGGGAACACTAGCTCTGGTGACTTGGGGGGGGGGGGGGGGGGGGGGGGGGGGGGGGGGGGGGGCCGCCCAAGAGATTCCCTTAATTTGCATGGATTTCTGCTCACTTCCTGTTTTGGCTGTGGGACATTGGAGCCTCATTATTTATCTAATAACTGGATCTGTACAGTTAATGTCTTCCAGAAAGTATTTTTGTTTAATTCCAGTATAGTGTTTGTAAACGTGGTTGGTAGGCCAACGTGTCTTGTATGCATGAGCAGCAGTGATTTATAATTAATTTATTCGATTGGCTTTTCCTGTACCAGAATAACAAAGTGCAGAACTCCAGGACCTTATTATATATTCAGAAGTCATTGCTTTTATTTATTTGTGGCTGAATTAGAACTTTGCTCAACTAACTGCATTATTGTTATGCAATAGATTCTGGTATGCTATTGGTTGTGATACTCTGAAGGTCATTCACATCATTGTACTGATGTTTCTGTTGTATGTTTTGATAGATATCTTTAATTTGTGATTTAGTGAGCAATGTTGGCAGTATGGAGAATAGATGTAAAGAAAACTGCAATGATGGAATATGACAGTACCCACTGGTTATAGTGCAGAAGGTTAACCTGTTATCCACTAGGTGGTACTATACACACCCGACAACTGTTGTAGAGGGAATGAAAAAAATATTCTGATGAATAAGCAGATTGCATTATTTTTTCAGGTTATCACTTAGATCTCCTCTCGCACTCTCTCTCTCTTGCTGTCTCTTGCACTCTGTGTGTCTGTCTCTCTCTCTCTCTCTCTCTCTCTCTCTCTGTTTTAATGTTAAAGTGTAAATAAAGGTAAAATATTTTTTTCATGTTGGATAGACTAAGGGACAGTTAAAACCCTCATCTTTTTTTTTTTGCCATTTGTATCATTGGGGAGATTTCCCTTCACGTTCAGTCCTATAGCCAAAACAGGAAGTGAAAGGAAATCATTCCAAAGTGAGGGGATCCCAGTGTGTCACCAGGGTCACCAGAACTAGTGTTCCCATTAGAATATTTACCCTCCTATTAGTGTCCTGATGTCAACCCAAATTTGGGATTTTCTTTTACTTTCATTTTCAATGGTAATGGTAAACAGGACAAATCTCCCTAATGGGACCACAAACAGCAATAAAATCTGACAGGTGTTCTAATCCATCTCCACTCTATCCAAAACTACTACACAAAAATGCCATTAGTTACACTTTATGGATACATTTGCAGACATACAGTATAATGTTGGCAAAAAGCGTATGCATTTTTTTTCTTTTTAATTAGATCAGATGTGCTGGGTGGTTGGAGCAAAGATAGTTGCCTACTATTATACTATAGTATTCATTGCTTATGTTGAGGGTCATCAATTTTGGTTAAAAATCCCTAGGTTTTTTGTGCCATCCAGTGTATCAGTGAGAATTTCTCCCACTTTCTGTTCTGTAGATACAACAGGAAGTGATGGGAAATCTTTCTGATGCAGGGAAATCTCAACTTAAATATTTGTCACCAGAACAAGCTCCCCTATTGGTACATTTCCCCTCTATTCCTGTAATGAGGACCGCTTCAAATTTAGGCTTTTTTGTCACTTTCAATCTGAAAAGCAATGGTCACCCGAACAAATAGTGTAAATCTCCTGGTACCTAACTGGGAAGATATAGCAGTTTCAGATTTCTGCAAAATGGGACAAGTTTGATGCAGATCAGATCATGTTTTAGGGATTCTCACTCCTCTTGAAAATTAGAACATTGCTAAAGGTTCAGAAACTTTTCCTACAACTGTTTATATACTGTTTTTTTTTTTTTCATGTTCCCTTATCTTACTCTTTTATGTGTTTTTGCAGGGGTTTCTGGTAGCCTCCAAACCGGAGAATGCTTGTGAGCCCATTTCTCCTCCACCAGTGCAGAAGGACAACAGCTCGAATGTCTATGTGGTGCTTATCAGGAGATTGGACTGTAACTTTGACATTAAGGTAAGGTGACCTCTGCTACTTGGTCACAGCCACTGAGGTGCCTGTGTGCAGATTTGTTCTCTTACTTGTAGAATGAGAGGCCTTGAGGACATATTTGCAGGTGGTTAATCCTGTATTTCCCTGTGACTGGGAAGATGCACATTAGTTGTTTGGTGAATGTCACATGCACTATTTTACAAAAATAAGGGTCTATTATAATATTTTTTTTTTACCCAAGATTTTCACATTTTTTTTTAAAGTGAATCTTATCTGGAAAATGTGTGAATCGTGGGTGAAAATGTACATAAATAGACCACATAGACCTTTTGGTATACATTCCTGCTGCAACAGCTAGTGATACTAAAGGTTCAGATGTTTTTGTTTAAAAATAACAAACCTCTCATAATTACCTGCTCTGTGCAATGGTTTTGCACAGAGCAGCACTAATCCTCCTCCTCTCTGGCCCCCCACCAGTGCTTCTAGCTTCTCCCCCATGCTGAGTGCCCCCAGAGCAAGCTGCTTGCTCTAGGGGCACTCATGCATGTTCTCTCCCAGGCTGCCTCTGTGTGTCCTAAAAAATGCACACAGCACAGCCTGACCCTATCCCCAGATGCCTCTTCACTGGCTGTGATTGTCAGCAACAGTGCCCAGTAAGGTTAAGAGAGAACCATATGTAAATATAGAAAACTGGCTAAAAGATCATATTCAAAGAGTAGTGGTTAATGATTCATACTATGAATGGTCTAGGGTTGTCAGTGGTGTACCCCAAGGTTCAGTGTTGGGACCCTTACTTTTTAATATATTTATAAACAATATAGGGTCTGGGATTAAAAATCCCATTTCAGTCTTTGCAGATGACACCAAGCTGTGCAGTGGAATAACGTCCTTAGAGGATGTCTTCAACATACAAGCCGACCTCAATGCACTGTTTAATTGGGCAACTATATGCAAATGAGGTTTAATGTTGATAAATGTAAGGTTATGCACTTGGGGGCTAAGAATATGCATGCATCATACATACTAGGGGGAATACAACTGGTGGAATCAATGGCAGAGAAGGATCTGGGAGTTCTAGTAGATCACAAGCTTAATAATGGCATGCAATGCCAAGCTGCGGCTTCTAAAGTGAGCAAAATACTCTCTTGCATTAAAAGAGGTATAGACTCCAGAGAGAGAGAGCTATCATTTTACCCCTGTACAAATCCTTAGTAATGCCTCATTTGGAATATGCAGTTTTTTGGCCACCAATTCACAAAAAGAACATTGGGGAACTGGAGAAAGTACAGAGAAGGGCAACCAAACTGATAAGAGGCATGGAAGAGCTCAGCTATGAGGAAAGATTAGTTGAACTGAGTTTATTCTCTTGAGAAGAGGAGATTAAGGGGGGATATGATCAACATATATAAATACATCAGTGAATATAGTGAACTCGGTGTAGAGCTATTCACCCTGAGGTCATCACAGAGGATAAGGGGCACTCTTTACATCTGGAGGAAAATAAATTTTATCTCCAAACATGGAAACGTTTCTCCACAGTGAGAGCTCAGTAGATTGCTTTAAAAAAAAGGCCTGGATCCTTTTTTAGATACACAGAATATAACTGGATACTAACATTTATAGGTAAAGTTGATCCAGGGAATATCTGATCTCCTCACGGGGGATCAGGAAGAAAATTTCTTCCCTGCAGGAGCAAATTGGATTATGTTTTGCTGGGGTTTTTTTTTACCTTCCCTTTGGATCAACTGTGGGTATAGGATTATAACTTTTTTTTTTTTTTTTTATGGTTGAACTGGATGGGCTTTTGTCTTTTTTTCAGACAGACTTGCTATGTAACCAAGAGATCCTTTGCTTTCATGCATGTTGCTGGATCGTGATTGGGCTATGGTAATTATGTGGAGGGGGCTGTGGGGGAAACTGCACACTGAAGTTTTTCTAACTTCATACATAGAATATATGAAGGTAAAAAAAAAAACTACAGCCTTTAGAACCACTTTTAATATGTTCTGCTGCCCAGTTCAGACCACTTCATAAAAGACTTTCATTAAAGATCTGAGACCCTGTAAAGCCTGCTGAAATGTGTATTTCTCTCTATTTTTAGAAAACTGTTGTAATAGGGAAGGGGTGGGCATGTTTCCTATAACCGTCACTTAGATTAGTGTTTCTTAAACTATGGGTTAGAATGCAAATTTGGTTGTGGGAGGATTGGACTGCAATACTTAGTGATGCTTCTTTAAAACTGGTGAGATTACTTGTGAATCATAAGCAATCTTGCTTGGAAGAAACACAAATAGAGATTTAGAAGATCCAGACTGAATTGAAGAAAGTGCACAACTCTTCCTCCAAGATATCAAGTTAGGCACTTAAGTTGTTGTTCAAATATTGGAAGCAATCACCTAGATTAAGTGGACAAAGTTTGAGAGACAAATGCTATCAATGTGTATCCAAATCGATCCATAAATACTCAAGAGAGTTTTCTGATGTTGAGGGAGATTCTTCTATACCTTCATGTGCTCCATGGGTTCACATTCTAGGAGTAGTTGTAGGAAGAGGAAATTTAAGAGATATTTATTCAGGTAATAAGGAACAAAAAAAAAATAAAAAGTCAATTTTACAAATATAGATACATAAAACAGAAATTGAGTGGGGCTGTGAGGCACAACAAATACAAGATTTACAAATTAACAATGCTTTAATATTTTCAGACTACACTTTAGGTAAGGAAGAGGTGGAGGTTTTATCACAAGGTCTTAATTTTGCACCTTTATCATTTTGATTGTTTTCTGAAATAGTGGATGGCAATTTTTCCAGAAAACTACCTTTAAAGAAATACCGGGGGAGACTTCTTGGAATTCTGAGCAAAATGTGGAGATTCCATTGGAGGGGGGCATCTGTGCCTTGTCACATATAGAGAGGGTGATATTAGTTTAGATTTTAGAGATTAGTATACACTTCATGACTTATCCTCTATGCATGAGTGAGGTTACTCAGGTTTGAAGATTACTAATAGATTACAAGAACCCCTGAAATTAGAGTCTTCAATAAATTTGAGATCTAATGTTTGCCCTGTTCATGAAAGAGGTGAGAAACTCGATCTATTCCAGAAATGTTTTGAACACAGGCTTTAGTATTTTTGGTGGAGAAGGTGAGAGTAGGCAGATTTAAGGCATAGCTTGTTATGTGATGGGTCATCATGTGACTGTATAGTAAACCTATCCTAGTTTGTCCAAGCTAAAAATCAGAGACCGGGACGCAGCTTGCAGACAATGCAAATAAAGCATGACTCCAGGAAACCTAAAAATTCTCGCTTGCAGTGGGGCGGAAAGGGGTAAATGCTCATTTAGTCTAGGAGAGTCTAGCAATGCGGTTAAGTAAATCTGATTTTTCATGTCTCTTAAGACAGAAACAAGCATTTAACTCTTGCTGTGTTGGTGTAGCCCTACTCCAAAGGAGGATTTTTAGGTTTCATGGAGTTCAGTTTTAAAGTATGTTTTTCTGTGGGATGAAAATGCCATAAATGTTCATGCCCACAACCCCACCACCTCTCTCAAAACCTGTGAGACAATTAAACTAATATGATTGACAGCACAGACATGTATGGGGACTAGAGTGTGTGCAGTAGGTTGGTGGAGGGAATTACATAAACAAGGTCGTAGGGTGAAGAGATCCTGGCACTAGTTGAGAATGTAGTGAAGAATGTGTTTCTTTTGGCTTTACTAACGCTTACAGAAAGAAGGTGAAGAGTGCTCACAATCTTTTGGCCTAGGTGCATGCTATTCCGGCTTTCTGGTGGTCACGTTTGCATGGGCACACTAGCCTATTCATTTGAATTGGCTGCTGTGCCTACAGAAAACCCAGGAAAAAGGTCCCTGCTCTTTTTCTAAAATTGCAGCCGCAGGGAAACTGCATGGAAACCATGCTGCAGTTTCCAGTGTGTGGGGGTGCCATTAGGATTGATGGCACCCCGCACATTTGCTTAACAATAGTGCATTTTTGCTGGTGGAAGGCATGCAATTTACATGCCTTCCTCTGCTCACTCAGATATGAACCAAGCCCTATATGGCCATTGTTTTTTGTGTTTGTCCCTTCTTGGATCCCAATAGGAGAATGGCTTTATTTTGGGGTCCTTGGACTGGAAAGAACCTTTGACTTAGATGGTTTGTTTTTGGTGTATACCCTGCACTCAGAAATAAGAGCTATATAACAATTGTTTTGTTTGGTTTACTTGCAGGTTTCTGCAATGCCAGTGTCTGCCTCCAGAATTCCCTTTCGTAAACTTTTTCATGATCCCCCTCCCCATTCCCCCCTCCTTGTGACAGCAGTACAGGGAGAAGTTCCCCATACTAGCTGTCAGTCTTTGAAATCCGCCCACACGGCTGCGTTGTTCATTTCTGGAGTTTTATGAATGAATGAACGAACTACAAATACCGATATCCTTTGTGGATGTCAGCTTGTAGTTCTCAATGAACTACCATGGCGCTGTGGAGAACTGTGGTAGTTCATTGCCTTTTCTTGTCAGTGTTAAACCGTCGGGTCATACGAAGTACGAGCACACTTATTACACTGACAGTCTACTGCAGACCCACATAGCTCGCTAGCGCAATGTTTTACAGGCTTCAAAAGAAAAAAAAAAAACATATTTTTGAACCTGCAAAAAAATGCATTTTTTTTTTGTGAGCTTATCTTTTAAAGAGAGGGCTCCCTGTGAATGTTAGATGACAGCTGTTTGAATTGGCTGTTTTTGGCTGAACTGAGCCACGGTCTCATGTTTGAGTCCGTGCATGACTGGCATCTGATTGCTCTGGAGGGAAATATTCAGACAGATTAGAAAACTTAACCTACTACCGTCATTCCACTATGTGATAAACAGAGCAAGCATTGTCTGAAAGAGCACCTCATCTCCTTTTCCTCATCTTAGACATAAACACAAACGTCCAGCTTTAGTCTGCCATGCACGGCTCGAATTTTGGCCAATTCTTACTGTTGGTACCACTACCGACACTAAGAATACCGAAAGTGGTTGG